TGCTCGGACGGCCCGCGGGCCGCCCGGGCACGATGCCTTCCGGACCCGACGCCTTCCCCGCCGCGTGGCCTGGCGCCTCCGGGGCTTACCCACACCCTTCGCTGCCGCGCAGGACTCGCGGCGGCTGCAGCGGGCGCAGGAGCTGCTCGAGGTCTTCGACGAGCAGCGCGAGGCGAGGAAGACGTACGCTAAGGACCACGAGGAGTACGCAAAGGAGGAGAGCCGCTGAGGCGTGGCGTGGCTGTTAATGGCCAGTCGGACGCGGCGAGGCACGATGCGCCTTTTGTACATGTAGCCTTCGTCGGCGCCAACCAGACCTCTTTTCTTAGGATATAGGAAACAAAAAACTTTTTGGAAAAAAGAAAAATAGTCTCAGCTTGATTGTTGATATGGGATAAATAAATAAAAATAAAACGGACATCCCATCTATGATTGTGCTTCCCTATTCGCTCCGGTACCTCTGGGGCATGCCGTGGTGCGCGTGGCGTGCCGTGTGCGGCTATGGTAATTTCTCGCAGCTGCGAGACAAGTTTTCTCGGAGCGACAGCCTCAAAGACAAAAGGGTGGATGGGTGGGGGGCGATTGCGGGCGAGCGCCAGCGCGCCCCAGGAACGGTGGGGTGCCCTCGACCGCGCGTCCGAGTCACTTGGGCGGACGAGCGAGCGGCACATGGCCCGACAAAGAGAAATCGGAGTCTGGCGACGAGATCGATAAAAGAAGTGCAGCGTTTCCTCTGAGGTGCCTCAGAGGTGCACCACACCTCTGAAGGTGCCTTTCAGAGGTGTCCTTCAGGAGCAGAGCTGACGTCAGTCTGTGCGCGCTCCCTCTCTCCTCGTCGAAACGCCGATACGTTAATGGCGCCAGCGCTTGCTGTTGACAAGTGGGGAACAAACGGCTTCATCGCAAAGCTGCCCCCAGCAGGCGTCTTGACGGGTATCAAAATTCTTCCCTACGAAAGAGGCCAACGGACCCGAGAAATACGGCTTTTAGAGTAAAGAGAGCCGTAACGCGTAAGTCCTCGGCGGGGACCCTCGACCCTGTCCTTCTCCCACCCCTTGTTTGGTGTGTCCGTTTTATTTATTTTATTTATGGGAGGAGGACAGGGTCCACACCTGCACGAACAGGATTTTGGAAGGACGATCAGGGGCACAGGTGGGGCTCTGCTGCTCCTGACAAGGGATGCCAGCGTAAAAGAAAGAAAGAAAACAGAGGGCTCGGAGGGGTCGGAGAAGGACAGGGTCGAGGGTCCCGGCCGAGGACTTACCCGATTGGGGCTCTTCTTTCCTCCAAAAGGCGGATTTCCCGGGGTCCGTGGGTCATCTTTCGGTGGGAAGGAAATTTTGATACCCGGTCAGGACGCCCTGGCTGGGGGGAGGGTTTGTGGATTGAAGGAAGTTTTGTTCTTCCTA